GCCCCTTGTGAAGCCATGCTGGTTATCACCACCCGCTTGATTGTTTTTTATGTGCCTTAGTACAGCTGCCAGGAGAATCTGTTCCATGATTTTACCTGGCACAGAGGTAAGGCTGACTGGTCTGTAGTTCCCCAGGTTGTCTTTGGTTCTTTTTTTAAAGATGGGGGTTATGTTCACCCTTTTCCAGTCTGTGGGAACCTCACCAGACTGCCAGGACCTCTCAAATATGATGGCCAGTGGCCTTGGAACTTCAACCACCAGTTCCTTCAGGACCTGTGGATGTATCTCATCATGTCCCATGGACTTGTGACCTTCAGGTTCTCTAGGTGTTCCCAGACCTGATCTGCTCCTACCCTGGGTGGTTCTTCACTCTCCCAGACCCAGCCAACACCCTCCGTGATTTGGGTGGTGTGGTTCGAGTGGTTGCCAGTGCAGACTTGGGCCAAAAAGTTGTTGAGTATTTCAGCCTTCTCCACATCCTCAGTAACCAGGTCACCTGTATCCTCCCAGAGAGACCCCACATTGTCTCTCATTTTTCTTTTTTCTCTTACGTACCTGTAAAATCCTTTTTGGTTATTTCGAATATCACTGGCAAGATTTGACTCTGTCGGGGCCTTAACTTTTCTAACCTGGTCTCTGATTACATGAGCAACTTCCCTGTAATCATCCTAGTTTACCAGTCCCTGCTTCCACACTTGGTGTGTTCCCCTTTTGTATTTGGTTTTCGCCAGGAGTTCTTTGTTTATCTGTATAGGTCTCCTGGTGTTTTTGGTGTTTATAAATTCTTATTTCCTGTGAAACAAAATCTGATTAATACAGCGTGATTTTTAAATAGGTTTATACCTAATTTTGATTACAGAATATATTTCCTTCGGCAAGCATTTCAATCACTCTTCAAAGAGACAACTTATTCTGGATTTGCTTTTCAGTGGAACAGACATACCCACAGTTTAATGCTTGTTTTATTTTAAGAAGCCCTGCCAGTAAAAAATACATGTGCAGAGCATTAATTTGCCTGCATCCAATCCCCTGTTTAACTTGAAGTGGGCATATATGCAGTGCTGCCAATGAGTATGTTTACAGGAAACAGAAAATATAACATTACAGTTAAATCTGAGACAGTTCAAACAGGTGGAAGTATACCTGTGTATATATCAAAGAACAGAGCTCACTGCTGCTCTTCAGCAGCCATTTACTCTTCAGATAGATTAGTGTAGTAATTTTATAGATAATGGATGGAAGTTTGTTGGATGTTCCTTTGCTGGTTTTTTCAGCAGTTAAGGAGATGATCGTGACACTTCCTTGTGCTGGAATTGAATTTAATTTAGGAAAGAATAGTGGCTAATAAAGAAGGTACACAAGACTGAGGTTTTATCAGGAGGATGGCTAGACTGACCTCACTTCAAAATCACATCTTTACTTGCATTGGAAATTTGGATTCAGAATCCTGTCAAAATTATGAAAAAAATGCCACTACTCCTCAGGATCCAGGGTTCCTCTCTCTTGTTCAGCAGAACGAGCCATTTTGTTATGCCACAGGTGGATGGTTTTGTTTGTTTGTTTGTTTACTTTTATTGACAGAGAAGACTCATTTGGTCAAGATGCAGTTCTGGCCTGTTCTGCACTGAAGAAGATGTACAGGCGTATATTAGTTAGTGGAGCATCTGCAATTGAAAGCAACCAGCCAGAGCAACCAGGAGAAAACACAGCACTGAAAATCCTCTTTGTTCATTTGCATGGGCCTATAGACATCATTGCTGCCCGCCTGGAGAAGAGGAGAGGACATTTTATGCCACCTGAACTTCTCCAGTCTCAGTTTGATACTCTGGAGCCTCCTAGTGCACCAGAAAACTTCATTACAGTCAGTCTAGAAAAGTCTCTCCCCAAAATAGTGCAGGAGATTGAGAGTGCCATTTTGCAGGGTGAGACTTTTCTGGAGTAAGTGTCTGCTCAATACGCATACAGAAATTCCCTTAAGGGTATCAAGGGTATGAAACAGCATTTTAATTACTAAACTGATTATTAAATCCAAACAACTTAATTTTCTTGATACCTAGATGGACTGCAATATTAAAGACCTGGTTTACTAGTCTTGGTATTTTTATCATGGCTCTGTAAAAGACATGAAATATGAAATTTTAAAATACTGTCAACTTTTTAAAGCCTTCACCACATGAAGATAAAACTCCCATTTTAGGATGTGCCTGTTTTTGAAAGTCCTGCTAAGTCACACACAATAATTTTTTTCCTTCTTCTTGAATTCTCACTCAGTCAGACATGGAGATGAGCACATCTGCTTGTAAGTGATGAAAGAATTTACAGCTTTGTTAGAAACAATGCATTTTTTTTCTTGAAGAATAAGAGGCAGAACATGCATGATGAAGTTCTGTGCCTGACACTGTTTCACTGCCAGATTTTCAAAAAGCTGTAGCTTCTGTCTCCTTGCTAACCTCACCAAGGCACTGGTGACTTTGTTTCATGAACTCTTACTGTACATATTGAACACCAAGCTGAAAAATGTGAGAAAAAAGTTAGTTGTGGTGAGGCAATACACAAAATATAATCATATGGAAAGCCTTAGAAATAAAGTACAAGTGGCATCATATTGGCTCTGAACTTGGATCTTTCATGTACAAAATGTACCCATTCATGAAGTGCAGTGGGGTGCAAGTCAACCAGTAATCTAAAATACTGAATACAAGATTGATAGATGTTTCCTTTTAGAAAAACTGATTTGTTTTACAGTTGGATTTTCTCCTTCACTTCTCTGCCCTGGTGTGCTTTAGTCTTCTACCTCAGCCAGTAACTAGTGCAATATATGCTTATGGATAGGTCTTCATACCACTGCTTAAAAGTTCAAGATCACGCTATTTTGTAATACATGTTTTTCACATCTTTTTTTTTGTGATCAGAAGATTCCAAATATTCAGTCAGTTGCCTCACCCACAGGTTAAAATCTTTTTTTATTGCCAAAGTGTTTTTTCAAAAGTTTTTTATATTGTGTTACACACGCAGTGCATTTTCAGCTTAACTTACTGAAACCTGCAGATAGTTCTGCAAAGAAAGCTTCGAGTCACATCTGAATGGGAGTTATCCCCATGTGCCCTTGCACAAGGATTATTTTTAGTGTTTCCTGCAGTTTTTTATTTCTACGTTGATGGATGAGCTCCTTTAGAAGAAAAACTCATGCTGCAAAGCATCTTCTGTGTAATTTTTACCTGGATAACTAGTTGAAAAATGTTCATCTTGGTAAGGGCTTTGTGAGTTGCTTGACAAACTAGTCAGCTTAGATCAGTGCAATAAATAGTCTGACTGAATGTGGGGCACTTTTAGATACAAATTTGAGAGCATAGACATTAACACACCCACCTAGAAATGGCCTTTGCCTGTTTGTTTGCAGCCTGGAGGGAGCATACCAGACGGTGACCAGGTTTGGTTTGCTGCCATACACTAGTACAGCACTAGCAAAAAGAGCTTGCTCTCAATCCAGAATCTGTTTATTCCAAGCCTAGATGCAAACCTAAGGCTCAGAGGCAAAGTTAAGTTCAAGAGACAGGCGTCTCTGATTCTTAACACCCTCAAACTTCAGAGACTAGGAACCTCTGAAGACCGAGTGAGTAACCGTAACTGCGAAAGTTTAGTGGCTATGAAAATCAAAGAAATGGCACCCTCTTGTGGTACCTTTGCTTGGAATGAACTTTTCGTGTTTTCCCAATACACCCTTTTTAAAAAGAGATTTTCTAATATACCCATTATTAAATACAGATTTACGCTCACTTTTTTCAGACACAATAAAAGTAGATCAGGGTACTGTACAGTGATGGAAAGCAACTGCATCCTTCACAGATACAATCAGACCTTCAAATAAAACAAAAAAATTGGGCAACATTTCAAGTGTGAGTTCTGAAAAGGCTAGACTAATTTTCAGATCTTCTTGTCACCATTTATAGCATGTTCACAGAGTGACTGGCACTAACAAAAAAAAATGCACTCCACACAAACATTCTTTCTTAGGGAAGCCTATGTAAGCACCTTGGGTTTGGGCGTCTTTTCTAAACCAAATAGTATGTTCTTAGAGGCAGTTCACGCTTCTTCAAATTACGTCAAGGTATTTCTCACTCTTTGCTTCCATGATAGGAATATTTCGTGCTCTTAACCTTTTAATATATTTGCCTGTTTCTTTTACTTAAAAAAAAAAAAATTTGCACACTTCAGGTGATGCTGAAAGCACAACAAACCAACCATTTAAATTAACATTAATCTTGTGAATGATGAGTGCAGTTTTCACTACTGGGGTTCAGAACTTTAGTCTGTTATGTCATAATTAGCTGGTGCATGAAGGCTAAAATTCCCACTTACATACTTTCATTAAGAGGACACCTCTGTGCTTCACTATTTTAGCCTCCACATTAACTCGAAATTATCAGCCTCTAAAAGCTAGTCGTATTCTACAGACCAAGCCTTCATGAGGAATTCCTGTTTCCAAGAACGGGCAGCTGGCAGTACATGAATGAAAACAGGAAGATGTTAAACAATTTTTTCTCAGAACGCTGATTTGAAGATAATCAAAATTATAGATTCATTAAGGTTGGAAAAGACCTCCAAGATCCTCAACTCCAATTGTCAACCCAACACCACCATGACCACTAAACCATGCCCTGAAGTGCCACCTCTACACATTTTTTGAACACCTCAAAGGATGGTGACTCCACCACTTCCCTGAGCAGCCTGTTCCAACGCCTCACCGCTCTCAGTGAAGAAATTTTTCCTAATATCTATTCTAAACCTCCCCTGCTGCAACTTGAGGCCTTTTCCTCTCCTCCTTTGCTATTAACTTGGGAGAAGAGACCAGCACCCACCTCACTACAACCTCCTTTCAGGTAGTTCTAGAGGGCAGTAAGGTCTCCTCTCAGGCTTCTTTTCTCCAGGCTAAACAATCCCAGTTCCCTCAGCTGCTCTTCCTAAGACTTGTTCTCTAGACCCTTCAGCAACTTCATTGCCCTTCTCTGAACGTGCTCCAGCACGTCATGTCTTATCCTGTGGCGCCCCAAACTGAACACAGTACTCAAGATGTGGTCTCACCAGTGCCAAGTAGAGGGGCTGCTGACACCACTTCCTGATGCAGCAGGCCACGATGCTGTTGGCCTTCTTGGCCACCTAGGCACACTGCTGGCTCACACTCAGCTGGCTGTCAGTCAATATACCCAGATCCTTTCCTGCTTGGCAGCTTTCCAGCCACTCTTCCCCAAGCCTGTAGCACTGCCTGGGGTTGTGATCCAAGTGCAGGACCTGGGACTTGGCCTTGTTTAACCTTGTACAATTGGCCTCAGCCCATTGATCCAGCCTGTCCACATCCCTCTGCAATGCTAAGCATCTGCATGTGTTGGGTTTGCCTGGCCAGATTTCAGTGGCAGAGGCGGTGGTTTGTACAAGTGGCTTGTGCAAGAAGGTGCTAGATGCTTCCTCCAGGTCGACAGAGCCAATGCCAGCCAGATCCAAAGACGGAGTCACCGCTGGCCAAGGCTGAGCCTGTCAGTGATGATGGGAACGCCTCTGTGAAATCCTATTTAAGAAGCGGGGAAAAAAGAAATGCACCACAGAACAACTGGGAGATAGGAGTGAGAACATGTGAAGACACCAAGGTCAGTGAAGCGAGAGGCCAGGGTGGGGGGACGTGCTCAAGGCACAAGCAGAGAGATTCCCCTCGGCTGTAGTGAAGACCATGGTGAGGCAGACTGTCCCCCTGCAGCCCATGGAGAGGGACTCATGTTGGGGCAGTTTGTCAAGAGCTGTCCCTCATGAGAGGACTCATGTTGGGGAAAGCATGTCAAGATCGTCTCCCATGAGAGGGACGCCACAATGGCCATGGGGAAGAGTGTGGAGTCCTCCCCTGAAGGAAGGAGGAGTGGCGGAGACAACACTGGATCAACTGACTGCAACCCCCATTCCCTGTGGGTGGATATATTTGGATTGATGTTAAACTCAGAAAGAAGGAAGGGGCGGGGGGAAGGTGTTATTTTAAGATCTGCTTTTATTTCTCATTACTCTTCTCTGATTTGTTTGTTAATAAATTTATTCTCCCAAATCAAGTCTGTTTTGCCTGGAACAGAAACTGCTAGTGATATCTTTCTCCTTATCTCAAAACATGTGCGTTCATTATATTTTCTCCCCTACTAGTTGAGAAGGGGGACTGATAGAGCAGCTGTGGTTAACACCTGGCCACCAGCCAGGGTCAAACCACTACACTGCACTTCTCACTCAGAATCTCAGAAGAGGAGGGAGTTTGCCTCCACCTTATTCCATCTCAGAAAGCCACAGATACAGCCAAAAAAAATTTGGAGAACTTGCCCCTCTGAAGAAACGAGTAGAAACCATGAACCTGTCACTTTCACTGGAAAGCGAAGGTGAAATATTCAGGAGCACAGCTTCTTATACATGCTTTCCCTTTAAACTCTTCCTGCTCTTTTTTTTTTTTAAGAAAAGGAATGTTGCTCAACTAATGTTCAATTTATGCTGCACATGTAGGTGCAGGAATGAACAAATTGCTTAAAAAGAAAACTGAACTTTCATTTCACAGGGCTGTCTGCAGACCCCAGCTCCACAAAGACAGTTTCAGATACTGCAGAGAAGACAACTCAGATACTGCAGAGAAGACAACTGTCAACTTAAATAAGTAGTCTGCTACCTCCTATTCTGAAAGAAAACAAAGCATTACTTCTGTTCACGTAAATCCCATGCATCACAAATTAAGAGATTAAAATATCAGTTTTGCTAACCATACAGCCACTCACCAGTTTTAATGAGGCTGTACATGTGCACAGAGGAACAAAAAGATTACAGGACAACCCCTGTGCATAAGTTTCGTTTACCTGCCCAAACACTACCCTACAATGCTTCATTCTTTATTTTTTTAAAATGAATTTTTTAAAATTAACTTTTTTA